TCACTACCGCGAGGTGCGCCAGTTCTGCTCGGGCCGCCACTTGGTACGCTTCTACTTCCTCACACGTGCCTACTCGCCCTACGTCGAGGACATCCTGCAGCAGCTGCGCTGGGGTGAGTATGCCCCCGATTTGGTAATCATGAATTCGTGCCTCTGGGACTTGTCCAGGTATGGACGCAATTTTCTCAGGAGCTACCGAGATGACCTGGAGAGGCTGTTCCGACGCCTGGATCAGGTGCTGCCAGCCTCCTGCCTCCTGGTGTGGAACACCACCATGCCTGTGGCCGAAGTCGTATCCGGGGGCTTTGTCCTGCCTGATGCCCCGGCCTGCCCTTCACGCCTGCGCGAAGACGTGATAGAGGCCAACTTCTACAGCTCAGCAGAGGCAGTGAGGCGTGGCTTCGACGTGCTGGATCTCCACTTCCACTTCCGCCATGCAGGGCAGCACCGGCTGAGTGATGGCGTCCACTGGGATGAGCGTGCGCACCGCTACCTCTCCCAGCTGCTGCTGGCACACGTGGCAGACGCCTGGGGCGTGGTCCTCCCAGCACACAACCCTGTGGGCAGGTGGATCAGGGATGTCCCCGCTGAGGGACAGCCAGACCGGGAAGAGAGAAGGCAGCCTCGAGACCACCACAGATATGAGCGGCGTGAACCCCCTGTGTCCAGGAGCTCTTACTCTCCCAGGTACCACCGCCACAGCCCTCAGAGATCTTCCTCGAACCCTCGAAACTCACTGAGCCGCAGAGAAGACCCCATGCCATCCTCTCCATCTTCCCAGCATCACCCATTACGCAGAGATTCCCCGAGGCGCAGGCGTGGATATACCAGGGAAACCAACTCCACAGACCGTCAACAGAGGCCAGGCCCTATCCGCAGAGTCTCTACCCACCACCAAAACAGACAGTCTCCCCCTTACCCTTCCCGACACCACAGTGAACCACATAGATCCCATCGAAGGCACAGTCACCGACGGACCTAAGCACCTGCAGAGGCAAGGTCTCCATAGCTAGACTCAGTTCATCTGCCAACAGGGGCCTTAAAGCTGTCTGATTCTGTAGCATGGGCCTTTAGCAACCCTACCTGAAGGCAATTTATTTTTCTTGGCTATTTCTTGGGGAGGAAGCCTAGATCTGGAATACCTCTCCATGCACTTATACCTATTAGCATTTATTTAGAAATAGTCCACATGAAAAAGCACCCTTCTCATTAGAGAGAAAGCATGGAAATTAATTAAACCTTAAAAGCACTAATCTCGGTTGAGATATTTTTCCTCTAGCAAAAGTAAAAATGTTGATTCAAAACTTTATTGAATTCATCTTTACCATCGGTTTCAGCGTGTATTAATGGAACTTAATCTCCAAACAATCACAGTAAGTAGCTGCATTGGAGATTCTGTAGTTGATGTGGTCAGTTTGAAAATAGTACTGTCCTTTAAGAAGTGTAGTCACTAATGTAATACAAGAGATCTGTTTGTTAAAATCTTACAATCTCTGTTGTTGTTGTTTTTTTAATTTCATCAAATGCCATCAGAACATCTTTTGTAGTTTTGTTTTTCAGAACTTTGATACATTCATATGAGTGTATTTTGGAGAATGTATTCTTCTCCATTCTCCATTGCCCACTCTCATTCTCCTCCCCACTGAAGCACTTTTGCCCAAACAGTCCCACACCTCCATTCATGCCCTTTGTTTTGCTTTGTTGTGTTTTGTTTGTGATCCACCAAGTTTAATTAGGGTTGCTTGCATGAGCCCAGAGCAGTGTTCTAGAACAATTTGGGGTCTTCAGTAAAATGGCATGGGAGATACAAAGAAGTTTCTCTAAACTCTCTGAATCCACATAGGTAGAGCCCCAACCTCTCCATCATCATCATCATCATCAAGATCATCATCATCACACACCACACATACATTTGTTATACTTGGTGAATTTATGTTACTAAGTCATTAGCACTCTGTCTACTTTAGTGTTTGCCTTTGGTGTTGCTCATCCTTTAGGTTTGGGCAAATATTTAGTGTGCCTACCATGATAATCACTGTCTTACAAAATTATTTCACTCGATCTTTTCACCATTCCCTCCTCCAAATCTCTGGGGGGAAAAGGAGCTATAACTGCTTCCATAATTATGGACATAGGTTGTTTCATAGATTCATACCGTATGTAACCTTTCTGGTTGGCTTATTTCGCATAGAAGTGTGCGTGTATGATTCTGACATATCTTTTTATGGCTTGATAGCACATTTATGTTTTAGCACTTGATAAAATTGTATTATCTTGATGTTCCACTGCTTGTTTTTCCATTTACCTGTTGAAAAAAATCTTGCTTGCTTCCCAGTTGGAGCAATTTTGAATAAAATAGTTAAAAAATATCTGTGCACGTTTGTGGGTGTGTGTATGGACATTTGGTTCCAGTTCATTTGAGTAAATGTTGAAGATGCTGTTGTTGGGTTGTGGCATCATAGCCATGTTGAGTTTTGTACGAGAGTGCCTAGCTGAGAGCATAGCTCAGCTGTGGGATACATTCCTAGGATGTGGGAGACCAGAGGCTCAGTCCCCAATGCTGCAAAACAAACAACAGAAACCTTGCCAAACTGTCAATTAAGTTTGCCACACAATTTCTCATTCCAATTGACAGTGAATCAGAGCTGTCACATTCAAGCATTTGCTGTTATCATTGTTGGGAGAGATTATAAAATATTTGTATGCATGTGTGTCTGCTTCAGCACCATTTATTGAAAAACATTATTTTCTCCATTCTATTACCTTGCTCTTTTACCAAAGATAATTTGACTGTATGTGTAGCTACTACTTCTGGATTCTCCATTCTCTTTCGTTGGCCTATTTGTCTGCTTTCATATGTATAACACTGTCTTGATGGCTGCAGTTTAAATTTAATTCTAGAAGACAAGTGTTATCAAGCCGTCTTACATAGTTTTTCAATCCTATGTTGGCTACCCTGGGTCTTTTATTTTGCTATGTAATATTTAAGACTTGGTCTGAGGATTTGGGTGAAAGCTGAGTCTTTAAAGTGCTTGAGGGCCAGAGATAAAAAAAAAAAAAAAAAAAAAAAAAGGAAGGAAGGTTTGGAAGGAGGGAAGGAAGGAGAGAAAGAGGAAAGGAGGGAAAGAGGGAGGGAAGGAGGGAAGGAGGGAGGAAGGAAGAGAGAGAGGGAAGGATGGAGGGAGGGAGGGAATGAGGGAGGGAGGGAGAGGGAGGGAGGGAAGACAAGGAAATGCTAGAAGTAATTCTGCACACTTGTAACCCTGACACTGGGGAGGCAGAGATAGGCAGATCCCTGGAACTTGCTAGCCTGCCAGTATAGCCTACATAGAGAGTTTTAAGTTCTAAGCTAATGAAACTCTCTCTCAGGAGGGAGGGTGGTTAGTCCCTGAGTATTAGATGTTTGTTTTCCAGCTTTCACATGCAGAGACCACACACACACACACACACACACACACACACACACACACACAGGGCATTTGTATCCTTCAGTTTTGCTCCAATCTCTTATGAGTTCTAATATTTTTGTTTGATTCATTTGGATTTTGATTGATTCACTTGCTTCTCCATTGCCCACAAATAATTAGGAGAGTTTTAATCAGTTCATATCTGTATACATGGTTTTTCTTTTTGTATTGAAGTATCCAGAACATCCAATATGATGTCAAAAGTATATAATGAGAGGATGCAAATGCCTTCCTCATCTTAGAAGGATGCTAGTTGTAGGGTTTGGGAACATTTTTTTTTTCAGGCTGAGGAAGTTGCACTGTTTCTAGTTTTCTAAGAGACTTTATGGTGAGTGGGTGTTGAATTTTGTAAAATACTTTCTGCATTTGAAACTCTGACCATCTAAATTGTTTTTAGCTTGCTGGCATGATAGACTACACTAATTGGGTTTTGAATATTGAATCAGCCTTATAAAAGTGTAATAAGTCCCAATTAATCATAGTAAAAAATTGCTTTTAGACATTATTGGATTTGACTTTTTAAATTTTTTTTATTAGTAGTTCTTTTCTTATAACTCCTTGTCTGTTTTCTAATTAGAGTGGCATTGGCCTTGTAGAACTAGGGAGGGAACATTCCTTCTGCTTCTGTCTTCTGGGATAGGGATGAGGGCCGGGGATGATGAAGAAATGATACAAGTTCTTGCTTAAATGTGTAATACAATTAGACAGTGAAGAATTCATCTGGCCCTGATGATGTCTGCTTTAGAAGTTTTTGTTTGATTGGTTCTTTTGTTTGTTTGTTTTGTCTTTTTGTTTTTGTCTCCTTTTTATTTTTCTTCCCATGGCTTGAGCATCGGCTTCCCAGATGTTAAGCATGTGCTGTACCACTGAGCTACACATCCAGTGAAATGATACCATATTGCTTCCCAATTGTCTCAAGGTTATCGATAAGTTAGTCATCAAATAAAACATGGTGGCTGTCACTGCCTTAAACAAACTTTTAGGTGTTCAGGTAGGAATTAAAAATAAAACTGTTACCTTCATGTATCACTTCTTTCTTTTTTTTTTTCTCATTTTCTACTTATGGGGAACCTTCTTTAAACATTTTTGGTAATAAGGTTTTAGCAACAGAATTTCTAATGTTGCTGGAGGAATCATTTCTTTTTATACTGAAGTACAAGTTAAGTGGATAAAAATATTTCCCTATTCTACCAACAATTTGCTTTATTTCGTTTTCTGTTTGCTTGCATGATTTCTGAGGAGAAGCCTGGTGTATTTATTCCCTTTTCTTCATTCTAAGTTAGCATGTTTCCTTTCTTCTGGCTTAAGATATTTCCCCTTTCATCTCTGATTTGTTACAAGTTAAATAAAATATGGCTGCGTATATACTTCTTTGCTTTATCGTGCTTATTGTTTTCTGAGATTTGTAGATCTTTGGTATAATGTCTGATACTAATGAGATAAATTCTCAATTTATTAACAACTTATTCCCTCTTCCCCTTCTCTTTCTCCTTTCATGCTGTTCCCATTAAGCTTATGCTGTAGATGTTTTGTTGTTCCATGTGTGTATGTGTGTAGAGCTAATTGTGATAGATTAGATGAGCTAAGAAATTAATGGGCAAGGCTGTTGAACTAAGTTAAGTACCTTGAACTTGTAAATGTGGAATGAAAGAGTCAACACCGTAAGCTGTCAGACACCACATGTGTGCTACAGCACACATGATGTCCCCTTCAATAATAATAATTCTTTAAAATAGACAGAAGAATGGTAAAATTATATACGTGTGTGTACGCGCGCATGTATGTTCAGGTGTTCACATATGTAACCAGATATGTGGGTGAGTGCACATATCCATGTGGAGGCCTGAAGTAGACACTGGGTACCTGCCTCAGTAGCTCTCCACCTCCTATATTGAGGCAGGGTGTCTTTCCGAGTCAGGAGCTCCTCTTTTCAGCTAGGCCAGCTAAGCAGCTTGCTTCTGGAATTCTCTGTCCCTACACCCTGACTGCTGGGCAAGCATTCCCACTTGGCTTCACTATGTGTTGTTGGGATGTGAAGTTGAGTCTTTGCAGGCACTTTCCCACTGAGCCATCTCCCCATCCCTGCTGTCTTTGTTTTCCAGTTAGAGCCTTTAGAATATTAAGCATTGTTCTTTAAATTCCTGAGCTGGTATGTCCAGCATTCATTCCTAACATATTTGTATCTGTCTGGTGCTTGCTGTGTCTTTCCCAACTGTAATTTTGTTTGCTTGCTTGCTTGCTTTTAGTATACCTTAGAATATTTTGGTGAAAGTGGAACAAAGCATACTAGCTAAAGGGACTGTAGTAAATAGACTGTTACTGTTCAGTTGTCACAGTATGGTGGGGAGAGAAGCAGTCTTGAGGCCTCTGATTCCATCTGTGTTACGTGGGGGCTGTGTGACTAGCTTGTTATCTTCAAGGACTTCACAATGTCTTTCCATCTTAAGAAGGATTTGATGGCTCCAGGGACCTGGAGACAGCATTTCCTATTTTTTAGATTAGTTAGGCTTTTATG